TTCGCTCCTCGGCAATATCAGCAGGTGATTATTGGAGTACTTTTGTCCTAATTATTGCCAACTTTCTTGAATAAGCAATAGCCAAAATGCGTACGCTTCTATATAAATTATATGCGATTTGAATAAACAGAGCTTGATATGAGTATTGTATAGATATGTATGTCTTTCGTTGTGACCTGTACTGTACATATACAAACATGTCCAGTGGACAATAAAGGTCTTCATTCATTATCCATCCATCCAGAACCAACCCATCCATCCACCCATTCATAAATCGATCCACACACACACACACACACACACACCCATCCATTCTCTCACTCACTCACTCACTCACTCACTCACTCACTCACTCACTCACTCACTCACTCACTCACTCACTCACTCACTCACTCACTCACTCACTCACTCACTCACTCACTCACTCACTCACCCATTCACATGCAAACACAACCACCCATTCATTCATAAATTATTATCCACATATCGTCTGCAGTTTGACGTGTTGACCACGACCCTGTGCCTGGAGGCAGCGTGTCCTGACCGGGAGTCCTACTCGGCTGCTGTGCGCCGCATCACCCGCCTCCTGAAGCCGGGCGGCACGTTCGTTCTCGCCGGAGTCACCAACCAGACCTTCTATTCCGTCGGCGGTTATAAATTCTTCACCCTTCCTATTGACAGAACCTTTATGAGAGAAGTGTTTGAGAAGGCGGGGTATGTCGACATTGACATCAAGTGGTTCCCAGCCACAAATGCGGAGAACAACAGCGTCTCCAACTTTGACGGGATAGTTGTTCTTCATGCTAGGAAAGCAGAGACTGAGTAATGATCCCCAAGCAGCAAGACCCTCCAGACTCCTATTGCAGCCTGAACAAATCGTAGAACACACCTCTATGGCCGGGAAACTCCTCTGGCCAATGATATCCCCTTTTTAGGCGATTTCTACGATTTATTCAGCCTGCAAAAGGAGTCTGGTGGAGACTAAGATCCTCCGGTGGCAAAATCGTAACAGACCGACAAGGTAGTATTCCACCGCCAATAAGCTATTGGATACTGTCGTGACGACCACTTTTCCTCGGTCCTCTGGGCGGTCGCTTTAGACAAGTTTGACTACACTCTCTTGTATCTAACATGCTACATTTAGCCGCGAAGTAATATTGCATGGATATGCAATAAACTTCATTGTCATTCTCAATAAAAATACTAATGTTAACTGATACACCAGCTTTTACTAACTTAAGAGATATAAAGGATAAAACATATTCGAGTATACCATAACTTAATTCAGGTAGACTGGACGGTCTATCGAAGGACGTACAAGAAAAGACAATTGACAAGTACAAGATGGAATTGGAGCATGATTGAGTATAAGAACACTTGAGCATCAAGTACAAGCAAAGGAACCTCAACAGCAGCAACACAGTCACTACATGTACAGTACATCTGAGCAGGACAGGAGTTTCCAGTTAGGCATGGCACTAGAGGATGAGGGAATCTGTACAGAGAAGTGATATTGTGAAGAGAGGAGTATCTACTGAATTTTGTGTAGTCTGTGAATATAGTATAGCCAGGCTAGTTCCTTGGCTCCAGGGCTAGCCTGGGTGCCAGACTATTGCCAGGGCCAGTATACAGGCTAGCTCCTCGGCTCCAGTGCTAGCCTGGGTGCCGGACTGTTGCCAGGGTCTGTATACAGGCTAGCTCCTCGGCTCCAGGGCTAGCCTGGCTGCCAGACTGTTACCAGGGCCAGTAAACAGGCTAGCACCTCAGCTCCAGGGTTAGCCTGGGTGCCAGAGAGTTGCCCGAGAAGTCTGTCATTCAGGCTACAATTACCAAGACCAAAGTGATGTTAATGTTTAATCTTTCCCTCACCTTTTCAATATCTGTTTCAACTGAACATCAACTACATTTCCAAAGATGCTAGTGATAAAATACAAAGTGTTGGGATACTCTCCTCTTCCACCCTATCACACACAAGGCTGATGTTGACACAGAATGCTAGAAACCTTCATAACCCTCTCATGGGGAGAAGACAGAACTGGCAATACATTGGAAGGGAAGTAGCCTTGTATGGGTGCCATCTGTGTATAATACTAGCAGCAATTCTTGGCTGTTTCTAGCACTCTGTAATGTCAGGTATTAAAAATCCCCCTTCCACTCGTTGCAACCACTGCATGACCTAAGATTTCAAAGAATATTTGTCGCTCCACGGATTTCATACTCAAACTTTCAAAGAACAATCTTTTTAACATTTTGTGTGCTTTGTTTTCTTTTAGGTTATACTTATGCAGTATGCATCATGTTCTAAATATGAAATCATGGGTCACGCGAGTCTAAATTTGGTTGTTCGGTAACTCTGGACTAGTGGAAAGGGGGTCAACACAGCACATCAGTGCACAACTCCTACAGCACTGACCAATGGAAAGATCAAGAACAGGGGTGCCAAAAAATTCATACAAATTTTACAGAATTCTTTGAATTCTAGATAATTCATATTAATTTTACAGAATCCATACAAATTTTACAGAATTTTTGTATTTCATAGAATTCGTATTAACTGTAAAATTCGGATTTTACGGAATTTTTGGTTGTATGCATTTTGTATAATTTGTATGAATTCCATTAAATTCGTATGAGTATTCCGTAAAAATTCATATGAATTCTTTGGCAACCCTGAAGAAAGGTTACAGCAAATACCTGACAGCAATGTTTCTATCCAAAACACAGGGTTTGAGGAGTAGCAGTAAACTTTCCTCTAGACTTTACATTTAAGACTAGCAGGGAAAAGCTTAGGCTTCTACTCAAGTTTCCAATACTGTTTGTCTCTACTGATCGCCCAAACCCGATTGAAATGTTGTTTCTACTTCTGCAACATTCGATTCCTGTTACTATATGGCAAACTCATGTTTACTGTATCAAGGCAAATATCTTACGCAACAGAAGAGAAGTATCATATACAATATTTACCATTACCTGCATAGACAGTATACAACAATTAACACAACATTCTGACTAAACCCACAAAAAGGAACTCTCTCAACAGGCAAGTGAACTATCAGTTAAGTAGACACACAGGTGGACATGTATATTGCAAGTTTGTCAAATATTAGCTTCATAAGTTATAAACGGCACGTTTGGTTTGTTACATGACTGAAGAAATTTGAGAATTCTGCAACAAGTCCTCTCCCTTTCAATTCAACCATCCCCAAAAATCAACTTTTCAACAAAATTTGACAAAAGACAGAAGATTTTGTTTCTAGAGATCTTTTTATTACTGATTTGTCAAAACTTAAAATGCAGCCAGACAAATAAACATTAGTATTATTTACTCTAAGACTAGACAAGAAGGTACAGGCCACATGCCTAAGACATCAAATATACACTAGATTTTTTTCCTTGGAAGTAAGTCGACAGACAATACTCATAATATTAGCGGCGTTCTCCCTTCTGTTTTTAACAACAAGAGAACACACGTAGTGGAATTTTGGAAGAGAGCGAAAAACGAGGATATACAGTGTCTGATTTTTCCCTAGTTTTCTGTCCCTCCATATTTGACTGAAAATATGCAATTCAGCAACAGTGTTACTACAGCGAATACAAAAGACGTTACACATGTATGACACGAGTCGGCCGAAGGCTGAAGCTGGGAGCTCGGGCCCTATACAGCAGACCCACCGTTGTTTAGTGCTTTGTTGACTTCTTCTATCCGTACCCAAAATTTCCAATCGTAGTCATCTGCCCGAGCAAGCTAACCCTCGCAGAATGACTACCACAGTTGCTTACACCGAAACACTGCACTCTTATACAAAAATAACCTAATATTTAGAAATTGGCTAGAGGTACATTTGTCGTATTAATTCCCCAGGACCTTTTACTCCCAGCCTTCCACCCCAGCCGTATGACTATCCCATCTCTCGATGCTACAGACACTGACTGCATTGTAAAATAAACGATAACCAACAGTTTCCTGACACAGCTATATTATTGCAATTCATAATAGTATAAAATTACACTCGCTTGGTGAGGTGAAAGTTCATGATCAAGTCCTTTGGCAATTCAACAGGTCCTTGAGCGGGCTTTTTTTTCTTTCTTTCGTTCTTTCTTTCGTCGCACACACACGCGTCGTCGGTGTCCTGTGTTCTACGTGTACGTTGTTGGGTGAAGGAAAAACCTGGTACAGGTACAGAAGATACGCGATTCACACAGGCAGCGTTTGTTGGTTGGGGATCGACACATCCAGAATTGCATATTTCCAGGAAGAAAGCACCAGGCAGAAACACAAACAAGGCTGTTGTCGGTTTCAGTCCAGGTCAAATTTTTTTTTCTATATCGTCATCAACTCGCAAGTCCGTGCGGTAAGGAGCAAGTTTTGTGTATTTTTTTATTATTATTATTTTTTTCTATCAGCGGCGAGGAGGGTAGCGGTCACGAGGGGGTCCACCACCGGCACCACCCCCCTTCGGGGGAGGGGCCACGTCCACCACCCGAGGGGCCTCCTCCACGACCGGCTGGGGCTCCAGGGCCGCGGGGAGGCCCGCGGTCACCACGAGGGGGCCCGCGGCTGTCTCCTCGCCCCCGGCCCTCGCCGCGGGCTTTTTTCTCCTCCACGTTCAGACGGTGCTCGTTTCGGAACATGATGGGCTGGAAAATCAAGAGAAGGAAATGTTAGCATGAAAGTTCATCAAATACATAATGAGAAGGAAGTGTTAGCATGAAAGTTCATTCAAATACATAAAGCGTTTAACTGTTCTCCAACTCAAGGAAATTAACTGGAATTTTTGACTGAATCATTTGGTCTTGGTCTTCATGTATGTGAAAATTCTGGTGAGTTAATTTCCTTGAGTTGGAGAACAGTTTAATTCTAGTATTTAGTAGGCAGTGTCTCTGAATTGTTACAGCCTCTCAATTCTTACAATTGTTACAGAAACAACATGTATTCAAATTCAAAGAGTAATATGAACTGGCCACTTTCAAGCTATTATTTCATACATTTTAGGTCGTTTTTTCCTGTGACCAAGCCTCTGTTAATATCAAAGAGACAAATATTGCTATTACATGTACAAAGTGCATGTTCAGACCAGCCTCACCTTCGAATCCAAGATCTTTTGAACGGGTTCCGGGTCATCAAACACAACAAATCCAAAGTTCTGAAACAACCACAAGTAATGTTGTTGAAGACAAAAGATTATGTCATCACATAAAAAGGAGAGGACAAAAACAGAGACTGAAATGAGCTATGATTTGGAAAGGTAGACTTCAGTCTTACCGGCACCCTGCCTCCTCCTGACTTTGTGTTGATACGCAGCTCCATGACATTTCCATATTCTGCAAAAAAGAAACACAGATTCTTCATGCTTGTGTCAGTGGGAAAATTAGCACAATCTAATTTGTAGGTTCACGGATTTGCCTGCTTCATTTTTTTCTGATGTGAAAAAAAAAACAAAAAAAACATTTAAGCCTCTGAATCAACTCCAAAATGCTAATTATTTTGGCTCCAACAGTTGAAGGACGTCCCTTCTCTTCAGTGTCAGTTTTTCCATCTAACAATGCAGCGGTTAAAGTAAAACCTGATGACCTAAATTCTCAAAGACAAAGACCAGACATACGTGCAAAGTGATCCTTGAGTTCGTCTTCGTTGATATCGTGCGGTAGGTTTCCGATGTACAGCTGTCTTAAATTCTTACTCTCCAAGCAGAGGTTTCATGCACTGGTACCTTTTTTATGCCAAACTTTTTTAGCCAAATCTCTGCTTGGAAAGTACTAAATTCTCAAACAAAGACAAAGACCAGACATACGTGCAAAGTGATCCTTGAGTTCGTCTTCGTTGATATCGTGCGGTAGGTTTCCGATGAACAGCTGATGACTGTCGGGGTAGCGGGACGGGCGCTGGACTCTCGTCTCCGGCCTGCCCTCCTCGCCCTCCCCCATCTCGCGCCG